TATTCACATGTAATTCCTACTTTCCCAAGAGCTGTACTGTCTTTCTGAAATTAATATAGTTCATTCTCCACTTCTCTATTTGGCCCCTCTTCCTCTAAAATAGGGTTTCCTGACCTCAGCACAAGTGACATTTGAGTTGGATATTTCTTGATTTTGCTTTCCTAGGATCACAGAATATCTAGCAGAATCTATGGCTACATACTCCTTAGACACCACCAATCCTCAAATAAAAGTACCCTTTGACATTGCAAAATATCTTTGGGGGAACAGGGTGGAAGGTGGAGGGCAAACCACTCTCAGCTGAAAACCTCTGCTATAGAATGATTACCACTGGGCTGACAGGCAGTATCATGATAGATGGAGAAAAGACTGACTTTGTCAGTGTTTTCATCTTACTTGGGTCCAAAAGCAAAACTCTTAGTTCCAGCAGTCAAGGGATCAGATCTATTGCATTGGTAAAGTCTGTTGTCAGGGATTGACTGCTCCAAAGTACTGGTGAGCAATGATGTCAGTTTAAAGACTAAGGCAGGCCTAATTCAGGCCATGGTCTTTTCAAACCTTGGTCTTTTGCTATGCATCTGAAAGCTGGACAATGAATCAGGATAACAGAAGAAGTGATGCTTGTGAGCTGTGATACTGGAGAAGAGTACTGAATATCACATGAACTGCCAAAAGAACAAGCAGATATGTCTTGGAACTCTGAAGCCAGAGTGCTCCTTAGAGGCAAGGATGGTAGCGCTTCATCTCATATACTCTGGCATGTTGTTAGGAGCGGCCAGTCCTTGGAAAGGGACATCATGTTTGGAGAGGTGGGGTGTTAGCAAAAGAGAAGAAAATCCTCAACCAAATAGATTGACACAGTCGCCTCAATGGGCTCAAGTATGTCAGAGATGATGAGCATGGTAAGGACAGGACAGGGTTCAGATCTGTTGTTCACAGGGTCACTATGAGTTATACTCAATTAGACAGCACCTAGCAACAACAGCATGATCTCCCAACCCACAGCAATGGCATCCCTGAAGACCTGTTATTACAGCTACTTATTGCTGTGGCGTCAGAGCTGACTTGCAGTTGATTACTCCTAAAGGGGTTTTTTTTTTTAAAAAAAAAGTTGTTTTATTAATTTTAATGAAAATTTAGAGACTTTGGATTTCCATTCACTTATTGTTGCTCTTTTCTCCCTGGCCCCCTGCCTCCCCTCCACACTCTTCTCTTTGAAAAATAAAAGAAAAATTCTTTCATTGTTTTACAATCCCTCACCCCAGGTCCACTCCACAATGCAGCCTTCGTTCTAGCCTCCTGTCCTGAAAAATCTACAACCAGGAGAAGATAAAATAGATGAATGGGACCTTCTAAGAATCAAATCCCTATGTTGTTGTTGTTATGTTGTTATGTGCCGTCGAGTCGCCTGCGACTCATAGCGACCCTATGTACAACAGCCCTAAACTCCGCTCTGTCCCTATGCACATCCAAAAACTTCTCCAACAGGGTAAAAAGGGAAGCCACAGACTGGGGAAAAAGTATTTGGTAATGGTAAGTCAGATAAGGGACTTATATCTAGAACTTATAAAATACTTGAGCACCACAACAAGATAAAGGTAAATAATCCAATTGAAAAATGGGCACAGGATATGAAGAGACACTTCACCAAAGACATTCAGATGGCCAACAAGCACATGAAGAAATGTTCAAAATCCCTACCTCTAAGAGAGATGCAAATCAAAACAACTATGAAATACCATCTCACCCCAGTCAGAATAGCAAAATTTAACAGAACAGCAAACAACAAATGCTGGCATGGTTGCAGAGAATCTGGAACCCTTATTCACTGTTGGTGGGAGTGTAGAATTGTGCAACCACTGTGGAAGGCAGTGTGGCGCTTTCTCAAAAAGTTGCAAATACAGATTTTAAGTAAATCACACAGAAGACTGCTTGTCTGTCTTCCTCAGAGCTGCTGGTGGACTTGAACTGGTTGCCTTTAGGTTAGCAGGGCAACTCCCTGAGGACTATATCACCAGAACTCTGTGAAGGACTGTTGTTGTTGCTGTTATGTGCCGTCAAGTCATTTGTGACTCATAGTGACCCTATGTACAACAGCCCTAAACCCTGCTCTATCCTGTGCCAATTGCACTGCCTCTGACACACCCATCCTGATTACCCCAGTCACTGAATCAATCCACCTCATAGAGGGCCTTCCCCTCCTGTGCCGTCCCTCCACCCTCCCAAGCAAGATGTCCCTCTCCAAGGACCTGCCCCTCCTTGCAACACGCCCAAAGTATGTCAGACGAAGCCCCAGAATCCTTGCCTCCAAGGAGTAGCTTGGTTTAACCCTCTCCAGGTTGAATCTGTTTGTTTTCTTGGCAGTCCATGGTATATTCAATACTCTTCTCCAGTACCACAGCTCAATTCTCCTTCTATCCTCCCTAGTCATTGTCCAACTCTCTGATGCATAACAAGTGATTGCAAAGACCATGGCCTGTATCAGGTGCACCTTAGTCTCCAGAGAGACACCGTTGCTCTTGAGTACTTTAGAGAGGTCCCTAACAGCAGACTTTCCCATCGCAATACGCTTTTTGATTTCCTGACTGCTGGTGCCAAGAGTGTTGACTGTGGAGCCGAGCAAACTGAAGCTGTGAACGATCTCAATCTCTTCGCCATCCATCCTGATGCTAACAATTGGTCCAGTGGTGAGAATCTTTGTCTTCTTGGCATTGAGCCTCAATCCATACTGAAGGCTGCAGTCCTTGACCCTCTGCAGCAAGGACTGTTAAGAAAAGCAAATTATCAGGTTCCACTCCAATCTACTGAGTCAGAGCTTCTATGAAGGGGGTTCAGCAATCTGTATATTATCAATTCTCCAAAATGTTTCTGATGGAAATGTAAAGTTTGAGAAAGAAAGAATGATCAAAACATAAGGTCATCTTTGAGAAATTCATTTTAAAGAAAGAACTGTGCTTCTTTTCTAAGTCTCTGTGGCTTTGGGCCCTCTAGGTCTGATCCTAGGCCCTGATCTACTTTCTTTCTTTTTAAAAAAAAATTTTTTTGTGTGTGTGTATTGTCAAATCGAATCTGACAGGTACAGGAGGAGATTGTTCTTCCTTCTCCAGCAGAGCATCTGGTGGATTCGAACCACTCACCTCTAGGATTGCAGTATAGCTTCTTGCCACTAGGCCACCAGAGCTTGCCCTGATCATCTTTTAGTTCTGTTTCACTCATCTATAACCTTATCTGTATAGTCCGATGTTAAGGTTGCTTTTACCTTCTGGAAAATCTTTCCTTCCCTACCTGATATTTTAGGCTGCCAAGCAGGCTTATTGTCACCTAAAGTCCTATAGCCTTGAAAGCAAACACTATCTTTCTCTAATAGTCAGAAGGAGACCCTCCAACTCTAAGTCATCTACTTCCTCTAAACCTTCACACAAGGTTTCCCTACTTCCCACTAGGAGTTCCTCTACTTCCCTGATTGGTACAGAAGGTGTGGTTAGCAGGTACTGGACTTGGAGTATTATCCAGTCTTTCTAGCACTAGTCATCAGCTCCCACTACTCCACCAACTCCTCAAGTATTCTCTACATTCCAGAATTGTTTCATTGTACTTCTCGAAACCATCTTAAACACTGACTGTCCTTAGAATGTCCCAAGACGTGTACATGATCAGAGTTCATGTGGCAACTGGCTCTTCCCCCACAACCCACTGACAAAACAAACTTCTTGAATCTTATTCTTTTTTGCTCAAAAACTCCAATGCCTAAGCAGTACCAGCAAATCAAAAGCCAACTTCTTGAAGCAGTCATCAATTTCCATGGGTGATAAGAGGGCTAACTGATTTGGAGTTAGTTTCAGTTAGGATTGAACTCCATCTTGGCCATTTAGTAGCTGCATGACCTGGGACAAGTCACTTAAGGTCTCTGAATCTCAATGTCCTTGTCTGTAAAATAAAAATGGTAACTACCCCAAAGCATTGCTGAAGGGATCACTGAAACCAAACATAGCAGTTAATGGTTATTATGTAACACAATTATCACCTCTGTGAGTTGCAGATGAGTCTATTCCAACCCATGGCAACACCATGTACCCAGGGTTTTCCAAGGTGCCTGGGTGAGTTCAAACTACTAACCATTCAGCCAAATAAAAAATGATTCAGCTAATGGTTAAGTGCAGTGTTTCATTATATAGGCTATCCAGGGACTCCAAAGCAATCACTACAACAATTTTTATTAAAAATACACTCAGGAACTTTATAATTATTAATCCACCACCTCCTTGCAACATGCTCTCCAAAGCAGGTAAGACAGAGGATAAACAAACTTGGGATAATAAGCAGATACCCTATCAAATAAACACAAAACTCTTGCAATCTTCACCACCTGGTGCGGGGCAAGAAAGGAGCCACTTCCTCCCACCCCAAAGCTTCCCACCTCACCTGTAGGGCTCTCCCAGTCCTCCTAAGTCTGAAGATTTTAGCACCAGGTCTATCACTAACCAGCTCTCTGAGGCAAAATTATTTAGAAAGCCCCTTTCATATCTAAAATTCTAAAAAGAATTCTTGTAAAAAAAGCATCAGGATCTAAGCTAATTGAACACCAATCAGGAATGATTATGAAACAACTCAGAATTACTAACATGCGTCACTAGGAAAATAAAATACATCTGTGCCCAAGAACAGCAGTCCTCAAAAGGTGTGCTTGCTTGCGTAGACAAGTATCTATATTATCATTAACGCCTCTTCCTCATTTGACTTCTTACCAACTGCTCCCCGTTTCCATGGCAACAGTCCTTCCACTCAAGAGGAACCTACTGAATAAACCACTCTCATTTCTCTTTCTCTCCAGCCGAAGGAAGCCATTGTAGAATGGGAATCCATATGAAACAGGAAACAAATTTAGGGAAGGCATAGCCTCCTTTCCCCCTTGTACTTCCAAATTTTATACTTCTTCCTCTCCTCAGTAAGACTCCAACAGGCCCCTCTGTAAATCCATCCCTGAGTTCTCACACTCTTACCATGTTGGAAATGCTTCGAGTGTTGGCAGGATTCAGCATGACAATCTCGGTGGTGATGTGACCCTCCACCGCCTCGGTCATCTCGTCCACTGTACAGTTGATGGACGGGTCATAGGTCTTGAACCAATTGTCGGCATACCACCCAATGAGAAACCAGACATACTTCTTCCCAAAGAGACGTTCCTTGTACACCTGAATATATAAAAGGAGAGGAGTAGACTTTTAGTTTAACCTCATTTTATTCAGCCTCTTGAGAATCAAAGAAAAAGTAGCATGGTTGAAAGGGAAAATATACAAGTCTTAAGGGTGGTAGGTAGGCTGGACAATCCATCTTTGTAGGTTCCTCCCCAGTTCCTCTAACTCGGAAAGATTTTCTAACTAATAAAAAAACAAGGAGGGGGGGGATGGCATTTTCAGGGTCCCCAGGAAACACAAAGCAATGGAAAATATAAGATCTGGAAAAGGTTTCAGTATGAAAAGCTCCACAAAAGAGTTGGAATCAAAGCCAAAGAACAGGGATATCATATTAACCATCATCTCAAACACAGATGCAGAGAGGAAACCTCATGAGAAACCCAAAGCTAAGGTATCACCCAGCCCCATCTCTCTTCAGAGTTCAATTTCACCTCACAAAAAACTTTCCGGGCTTCAGTCTCATAGAAGAGTCCTACGATGATTCGGGCATCTTGACGCTACAGAGTGGAGAGAGAAACAAAGTTCCTAAAAGGGGCCTGAAAAGGCCAGTGGAGCTAAGGCAAGCACCACTGCATCTTTGATTTCCTATCCAGAGTGCTTTGCATCCTGTTCTATTCAATGAGTCGTGGCTAAAAGTCAATTAAAAGATGGCACTACACTTCACCAGAATATGCCTCACTCTCCTGCTTGGCTTACCTCCAACTAGTTACTGTCCCCTCCCCACCATCACCAGGCTACTCCCACCACCTCACCTTAAGGTTTTTGACAGGCACAGCGGGATCTGAGAAGAAACTCTGCCGGAAAGTAATCTCGATTCCAGCCTCCTTCACTCTTTCTTCGAGGTCATCCAGAGTCTTGGGTGGAAACAAGAAACAAGCAGAAGTAACATGGAATACACAGGGGGTAAGAGTCCAGGATGCAAACTGGGGGACTGAACACTTGTAACAAAATAGCAGCCAGTAGAACCATCCTTCAAAGCTCTTCTCCTCAAAGAAAAAAGTTTGGAAGGAAGATTTGGAGTCTCAAAATGTAGATTTTCAGTGAGAAGGTCCAAGGTGAGCCCCTCCAGAGGCTCTGTGTTAGGGAAGTCACCCCCTCCACCTGCTCTCTACACTGACAGCAACAACAGGGGGAGGGAAAGCACAGAGGAACCAAGAAAAGGAGACAAGCTGGTGCAGACTTGCGGAGGCAAGCAGGCAGATGACAAAAGGATTAGAGAAGAGTGTCCAGAATTACCGAGAAAAAGTGGATTAAGTATTAAAGGGCCAGAGAACATAAGAGCAGATATAGAACCCAAAGAAGAGGAAAAAAATAAGAAGGTCAGCTTCCTTCTTCCAGTGTTTAAAAAAGAAAACCACTATCACCAATTCTGACTCATGTGTCACAACAGAAATGTGCTACATAATGTTTTTCAATAGTTCTGATCTTTCAGAAGTAAATCACCAGGCCTTTTTTCTGAGGAACCGCTGGTAAATTGAAACTACTAATCTTTCTGTCAGGAGCTGAGTGTTCAATGGTTTGCAACATCCATACACTCCTTTTTCAAGTGAAGAGTCATATACTTCCTCTTTATTTCCATAGACCTCCCTTTGTCTCTCAGCCCATCAACCTCTTGTCTGTCAGCAACTTCAACCATCAGACCCATGTACATGTACATGTCTCTCCCCCAGATCCATTTCTATAGCACAACTGCTTCTGCTCCCATCCACACCCACTCATTCTCCCTCTTAAGCATCTCTAGAATCTGATACCTCCCTAGGTTGCAATTTCATAGTCCTTCCCTTCTTTGCTTCAACTTTGGAGGGAACCTACTTAACAGACATGATGAGTCATTTTGGGTGGATCTGTCTGGAGAAGAGAGTATCAGAGACATAAAATCATAGAACCAAAAAGCTAAAGAAGATCATGAAAACCCAACTTGTCATTCCTCTGGCTACAGAAAGAACATGCAAGTGCAACACCCACTGAATGCTCTTTATAAACAGATCAAGTAAGATCCTCCCCACAAAACAAATTTGTGTCACATCTTTCTCCACTAGAGTTCAAGCTCTCCTCACCGAAGTGAAGACCTCAGTGGTCTGCTGGATGGTGGCAATCTTCTTCCAGCCCCACTTTTCAAAAAGTTTCACACGGGTTGGATTGTGAAGCGTGGCTGATGGATGAGTTCGAAAGAAAGTGGGGAAACGTTGCCGGTTTGATAAAGCTGGTGAGCTTGAGCCATAGGAAAGCTAAAAGAAGCAGGAATATACATGGTGTGTCCTTCACGGATGGCTAAGAGTTCCCTTAACCCTCTTCTGCTTTTAGGTTTCTGTTCAAGACTCTCTCCAAAACTCCTCACTTCTGCCCCAGAAACAATGACGCTCAGAAGCCTACCCTTCCCCTAATAATCAGGATGTTCTTCCATTGATCTGACTTCAATTCTTTCTGACAAAGAATGAGGTCAGGAGTAGCACCGCCAGGCCACTATTGCTAGACTGCTAACTGACTCAAGTCTGCACAGGACACTGAACCTTGGTAGCAGTGGGCCCTTCAACAATCTTCTTTAATTATACATCTACAATTCCCACTTCCTCCCTCAGTACAGCCCAAAAGGGACTAACCCACCTTCTGGCCCCCTCAGCTCTGCTTACCACAATGAGGTTCCACATCCTAGCAGCCTCAGCCACAAGAGTGGAGACAGAGCTGCAGCCAGGCATGAGGATGATCTTGATAGGGTCATTGTAGAGCAGCTCATACAGGTACTTGGTGGCTTGGCCTGGGTCACACTGAGGGAAGCGGGAAGAGATGAGGGCAGCCTCTCCTCAGACCCTCCCTTCTGTGCAACTCCTACTCTTTCATCCTTCTCTAACAGCAGAGTTCCTCACTCCATTACCCACCCCTCTGCTGAAACTCTTTCATCATTATCACCATTTTCTTTTCCTTCCTGACATCTTTTCCTGTGAAATTTCTTGCTTCTCCTCATTGGTTAAACACCTTTCTTTCTTTCCTCCATCTGGCACTTATCTATATCCTCTCCTGAAAACCCTCTTTCAGTATTTATATAGCCTTTCCTGCTTTCAGTTTACCTCAGACATTCCCAAGCCCATCTCCCCCCAAACGTAGATGGCTGGAAAAGAGTCCTCAGGAATAGGAATAAAGTCTACCCTAGTGCCCTAGCAGCTTCTACAAAGCTGTATTATGAAAATCCCTCCTTCACCTCTGCATCCCCCTCTTTTCTTTTATTCCCCTGCTTCCTCTCTCCTTAGTTCAGGGCTAGTGATAAGTAAACAAGAGAGAACAGGAACAAGACCACTAGGGGGTCCCGCTTGGTTATCCATCCCCTCCTGCTGGGCTCTGACATTTGATGGGTCCATTAGGAAAAGAAAAAAAGACACTCTAAAGGGTGGGCTGGGGGTGGGGTAGGGAAGAATCAAGACAGAACCTGGGGAGAATAAATAGAATGGTTTAGGAGTGCTTGAAAGAGAGGCAGAGAGATGGGCAAAGTAAATAATGCAGAAAGCTAGAAAGGAAAGGAATGATAGGAGGAGGGGTAATGAGGGAAGAGCCAGGCATGGGTCTCCCACAGCAGGGGCCCCCCTGCTGAAGTCTGACATTTCGAAAGCTGCAGGAACCCCAAAGGAAATGGGGAAGAAATGAAAGCCAGTGGGGAGTGAGGGCAGAGGGGACACAGACAGGAGGCACAGGGAACTGGGGAGGGTGAAATGGAGGGACAAATAAAAATAAAGGAGCCCCCCAGAGCCTGTTCATCTCCCGCTGAGACCTGACATTTGGGACATAGCAGGAAGTTTGGGAGGAGGGAAGACAGAGGAGGCTAGCAGAGGCTGCAAAAACAAACCCTCACCCCTGCTAAGGGCAGGTCCCACCTTCCCACACTCTCTCAGCACCTATTACTCCAGATCCTGCCCCCAACTTCTCCCAACTCCCTAGGTGACCCTCCCATGTCCCATCTCATAAAAAGTTGATGAAAACATATAATATGCATACAATGGAGATATGCTGCCCCATGTTTCTTCACTTTCCTCATTGCATAGCTTTTCTTACATCTCCCACTTCCACACCCTATTCCTGTACCTCTCCACGGTACAGGAGACCACAGGGGTGTGAGGGTCTCACCCTCCCACAAGACTTCCTCATTCTCCCCTGCCCTTTTGCTCTAGCAAGGATATGGATTTGCAGGCAGGAGATGCCACATCCCAGTTCCTCTGCTTTCCCATCCTCCTCCCTTTGCTGCCTCTGCTATTTTCTCCTCCTGCTCCCTTCTCACAGGTCCCCCATCTGCTCCCCCAAAAACCTCCAGGGAATTACCTGTCATGGTAGATGAGTTTGAGCTCATATTTCAGGTCTCCCCTGTCTCCCGGTGAGCCTCTATTACAGAGTCTAAACCCATCTCTTCTCTCTCTACATCCCCAACCCTCAAAGCCAATTAGCTTTTCTAAAATTGACCTTTCCATGATCTCTGACCTTCTATTTCTCAATCTACCTTTCTTCTACTGTTCCTAATTCCTATTTAAGCACCCCTTTGATCTTCTCAAAGACATCCTGGAGCATCCATAAGAACTTTTCTTGGTAAAAATGCCTGGGACACACCTCTGACCATGGAGTTAGAATGTGTACGTTTAACAAACTCCTCAGGTGACTCTTATAAACACTGAAGCTGAAGAAGCTCTGAGATGTACAAACAGGAGGAATTTGAAGTTCTCTCTCCAAATCCCTAACATTGCTTGTATTCTCTCAAGCACCCTAACTTCTGCCCTCACTTCAGTCACCTGCCTTATTTCTTCGCCCATGCTGTTCTAAAGAATGGGTTTAAATCCTGAATTTAACACCAGGTGTGAACTCACTCTACTTCACCCTCCCCTAATCCCTTAAATCTCTGGTGTCACCTGTCTAAAAAGATAAATTCAAGTTCCAAATCTCCTTCTTTCCCTATACTACAACCTTCCCCATAATCCCACTTATTCATGTAAGAGCCAGGGATGGGGAAGAAATCTTCCTATAAGATCAGTCCCCCGGATTCATATTTTCTTACCTTCCCCTCCTTTCCTCCCTCCTTTCCCAACTCTATATAGAATTTCGCTTCTCACCTCCCAGAAGCCATAATACTGTTAAGGGAAGGTAAATTCCTGTCCCAAATTGCACAGGATGCCCCTGGATCTTTCACTCCCATCCTTAACCCCTTGATATTCTTTCCAGTACCTTCTATTTTCTCCTGATTCCAACTCCCTCTCCATCCCCAATCTACTGTGGGTGCATCCACTGGGACTGCTATGTTCCAGGGCGTCTGCCCATCTCCTAACCACTAACCTTCCCCAACCACCACATGCCATAGATGCCCACAGTCCAGGAATCGCAACAGGGTTAGGGACGAAGGAATCAGGTAGGGCTCATAGCTACTTTGCTGTTTGTTGCGATAAATAAACTAGAGCTGCTAAGTCTCTCAAAATTCTCTTCATTCTGTCCCTATTCCTTCCACTCAGTCCCAACCCACGCCTAGACTTACCTTGTTACCATGGTAAATGTAAACCCCTGATGCAGCTTCTCCCTCTGACAGTCCACACACACACCCTCCAACCCACCCCAGGGTCAGTTTACACCTCCAGAGCAGGACAGGTCAGAACTCTAAATTTTCACCAGTTCCCCAAACCCCAGTACTTCCATTTACTGGGGGGGGGGGATGCCTCAGCAGTGAAAGAAGGGTCTGCCTCACAACATGAATCACCATCCTGAACCCCTAGCTCCTCATCTTGAACCACCAGCCTAAACGACTCTCGCCCCTGGCACCCACATTCCCAGTCCATGTTCCTTCTCGGCACACTTCGGAGGGGTCCTCCTCGAAAGCCCAGAAGCTACTCCTACTCCGAAGGAGGCACGCGCTGCTGGCCCCCCTTTCCCACCCCCAGCCCCCATCGCCCACCGACTCCCAAGTCCGGGACTACCTTGCTGTCGTGGTGGATGAGCTTGAGCTCATAGTCCGGCAGGATGTCCCTGCGGCTATTCACGTCCTCCAGCGCCATCTCCACCGCGGGCTGGCAGGCCTGGCCCCCGGGCCAGCCCCCGCTCATGGGAAACAGCGCCCCGATGTACACTGCGCGCCGTTCTGAAGAGGGGTGCGGGGGGACCCGCGGGTGAGGCCGCGGGAGATGAGGGGAGTGGGAGGCCCATACCGGAGCCACCCCCGCCGCCATCACCACCAGGAGTGGCAGTGGCCACCCCACCCGGGGGAAGGGGGACCCCGGACCCATGGTGGGAGGGCGGGGGTAGCCGCTTGAGGAGGGGGAGGAGCTCAGGGGGGACACTTTTCCCTGGGAGGACTGCTGAATGGGTGTCGAGGTGGCGTCTCCATCCCTGGTTTTGTGCGGAGGAAGGGGCTAGGGCTCCGAGGAAGCTGGAGGTGAGGGTGGCTTCTTTCCTAAGGACCCCGCAGCTCCTGCTCAACCCACCGCCACCGCGGACTCTCCTCGCGGACTGACTGACCGACAGAGGCGAGGAGGAGGAGGAGGAGGAGGAGGAGGGAGAAGTGGGGCTGGGAGGGGGCTCTGACGTCACGGACGGCGCGCGCGGCAGGGGGGGCGGGCAAAATAAAGGAGGAGGATAGAGAAGGGGGCGGGGAGCGAGGCGACCGAGGGGCGACGCCTGTCAGAGCGGAGCCGGTGGACGCCTGTCCACCGAGGGGACGGGAGAGGAGCGACCTCGTGGGGGAAGGGAGGGATGGACGCGCAGGAGAGGGGTCCCACCTGAGGGGGACACACACATTTGGGGAGGGGAGAAGCGGGGAAGGGGTGTGCCAGGAGGGCGGGGTGGGCGGAGGGAGCCGCCGCGCAAAGCTGGAGAGCGGAGGAGCGAGGAGCGAGGGATGGGGACAGCCGAGCGTCTGAAATGGATGCGGTCGGTGAACGACTGAGGAGGGTGACGAGAAAGAGAGCCGCTTGGTTTGCAGGGGAGAGCTGGAGGCTGCTGGTGTGGAGGGGAGTGACAGCAGCAGAGGAAGGGAACTTGGGGCTGGGGAGAGACACACTGTGAAAAGGTGATGGGAGGAATTGAGCAAAAGAGGGGCACCGGGAGCACAGGAGGGAGCCTGAGAGGCCAGGCCAAATTAGAGATCGGTGAGATGAGCTGCTGGAGTAGAGGTGAAATCTTAGGGAGAAGGCAAGCAGGAAAAGGTTCCAGAGAAGGTCGGGGGGAGAAAGGAACTGCAAGGGGCAGAAAGTTCGGAGTCTCCCAGCACCCTGTCGCCCCCTGCTGGGGCTCTGCCTTTCGGCCGCGGAGCGGAGTCTGAGAGGAGGAGGAGCCGAGGAAAGTGCAGCCAAGCAGGGAGATGGGAGGGACCGCAGCCCCGTGGAAAACCGGGACAGGCGGCAGGAAACAGGTAGGGGAAAGGAACCGGCCGCGAACTGGGGGCTAGGGGGTAGGGAGTGGGGAGTGGGGTAAGGTGGGAGAAGAGCAGGGCCCCACAGCCTAGGCCCAGAATGCCTGGAAGTGGAAGGTGAAGAGTGAGTGGTAAGGGGTTGAAGTGCACGCGATAAGGGTTCTCATCTCACCTGAGTGTGGCGTTCGATTCACTGGCAGCAGGAAAGACGGGATCAGAGAAGAGTTACCACGGGCGCCCAGCTTCCCAGGCCTGATCCCCAGCCCCCTCCCACACCTGTCCACGCCGAAGACGAGAGAGCAGAAGCCTGCGTTTCTGAGGGGAGGGTGCCTGGGGATAAGAGCAAGGTGGGCTGGGAGTCAGGTCTTGTTGGTTTTCTACTTTTCCTTTTCAAACGGCATTTGGGACAGAATTTGTCAAAGGCTAAGGCAGGTATAGCTCCTACGTTTGTGAAAATTTTAACTTTGGGGGTCTCTCTGAGAAAAAAGTTGCAAATATAATTGGTTTTAACTAGTTGGTGGTAAACTGTTTAACAAATTTTACTAAAACCTATTTGGAGCACAATATGATTCCTCTCCATTGGTAGAATACTAGAAGAGACTCCAAAGATTATCATTATCTTCTTGATAAATGTCTCTGAGTGAGATTCCCAATTTCCAGAACAAAAGAGTAGATTAGAAATAGAATAACTGAGTTAATAAGGAAATCCAGGCCTGAGGGTCTACAAAAAGAGATTAAAAGAAAGGAGGCCAGTATACCAAAAGAGTCAGCAACAATAGAGGAAGAGTCTGAGTGCCCAGGAAAGGCAGAAATCTGTGGAACTAGGTGGCAAAAAGGTGGGAGATACAACACTCAAAGGGAATGATGAAGTTAGTCTTCAAGGTATAGAAAAAGATTGTTCTCTTCCCCACTCCTGGGCCCCTCTTAATGCTCTGCCAATTCTACCTCCAATCTTTGTGCTATTTACCCTAATATTTTCATCTCTCAAATCTTCATTCTAGTTCCATCAAGTTTTTCTAAATATGGCATAAAATGTACTTGCATCTTTACTATAATTTAATAATATATAGGAAATGTAGCAGTATATTACTGAAGAGAGTTCTAGAAGAGGGTGGTGCATAGGAAGTTCTAAATTTAGAGAAAGGGACAGAGGTTGAGAAAAGGTGAGATTTAAAAAGACAAAAAATGTGAGGACAAAGATGAGGGGTGGCAAGAAGACATAATTAGAGAAACATAAAGGAAGGAAACCCCCTAACTATTACAAGTAGAAACCAGTTCTGTAGAAAGGAGGTGGTAGTGGATGGATGGAGGAGAGGGCTTTCACCTCCACCTCACCAAGGTTTCATCCCTCTTCACCACATACACACCCCCCTGCTCTTTCCACCCTCCATTTGCACCCCACTCCCATCCTCACACAAGCATCCTCATCAGCTGCATGCAGGCAGCTGTTCCCCTCACCCTGGCAGTGGGGCTTGGGGGTGCTCCACTGGCCCTGACTACAGATGCTCCGGGAGCTGCCCACCAGATGGAAGTCGGAGTCACATCGGAAATCCACCCGGGCTCCATCCAGAGCTGGGAGGTCCCCACCCGTCAGGAAAACTTTCCCATTTTCCAGGGTCAAATAAGACTTGGAGCAGATTCGGACTGTGGAGAGAGAAAGAGATAAAACAGAGGAAAGTTGGAAGGGCATTCTTGTCCTTAGAGAGGAGAGGTCTCAGACTGGGGTTTGTGTTCACAAGCAGTCTACTGTGTAAGAAGTCAGGTGTAATAAGGTCTCTCCTCCCTGCCTTCAACGCTTCCACTCCAAACCCAATGCCACTGACTGACTGCATCTCAAAGCAACCCTGTAGGGCAGAGGAGAAACCAGGGTACAGTTGTCCCTATTGGGTTTCCAAGGCTATAATCTCTATGGAAGCAGAATGCCTCATCTTTCTTCTAAGGTGAAGCTGCTGAGTTCCAACTGCTGACCTTGTTGGTTAGTTTTAACCTTGTGTGACTTAGACCTTGTAACTGTCTTAATCACAGAACCACCAGAGCACCTTCACTTAAGAGAGGGGAAAGAAAAGCAGTTCCATAGTAGGAACCCAAGATGGAGCTATAAACACACAAAATGGGGACCTTGCAAAGTTGCCTATAGTGGGCGTTTCTCTGGCTTTGAAAAGTGGATGTAGATTTGCCTTTCCTATTATAGTTAGCTTCTATTAATATTAGGTTGACTTTTGTTTCCTACATATAGTTTCTGGGTGGGAGACAGATTTATGGGAAAATGTGATAAAAATCCATTTAGGGTCTTTTTGCTCAAGTTACTTGATCAAATTGCCAGGACCTAATAAAGGGAGAGTGAAGTTAAATGTGCAGGCTACTAATTCTACTAAATCTAACTGCATACAACAAATACCTTTTACAAGGTGATAGTTAAAGATCTGCACCTGTGAATTCCCTTGATTAAAAGTGCTGACACTACAAGTGGTAAATGAGAAGTTTGAGGATGGAGCAAGGGTCCAGGGGAGGAAGAGGTGTTGTGAGGTTACTCACCACAGCGGCTGGGTGTGTCCATGTCGGTCCAGGAACCATTGGCCAGGCACTTGCGGACCTTGGGCCCCACCACCTCACGCTCCCCTCGGCACACATACTCAATCTCATAATCCACCGGCAGGAAGTTGATAGCCTTCACCTGATCCCGAGTCAGGCCCCGGTACCTGATGCCCCCTTCCCAGGGCGGGTGTATGATCTGGCAGCCTGAGGGACGAGTACCGAGCACCGAAGGCGAATGAAGAAAAACGAGGGGGAGGAAAGGCAGAGTCAGTGGCTGGAGACCTGAGAACACAGGGCGTGGTCATTGGGCAGGCAGAGGACCAAAGCGAAGGGGAAAGGAGTGAGGACTGGCTCTGAACCCAGGACTTATTTAGACCGCGAGATAAAGTGAGGGGTAAGGTTGGAAAATCCACAAGCCGGGAAAGGAGGGTCCTGGATGGGGTTGGAAGTAATGGAGAAAAGTAAAATGTCATGCAGGATTGATATGTGGTGGCGCATAATGGGGTTAAAAAAGAAAAGGGAAAAAAGGCTAAAAGCCGATATATGAGTTGAATTAGCCTTACCTAGGCAGCAATGAAAGGGAGCAAATAAGGTAGTAATGTGGTGCCAAGAAAGGAAAGGGGAGGGGCCAAGAGAATGATGTAGGGTCACGGGAAGGTAGCCAAGAGTAGTACCGTGGGTCAAGGGAAAAAGGGATACTGGGTAGTCATAGGGTGTGGAAAATAAGGTCAGGAGTAGTAATGTGGGGTCGAACAGAAGGGGATGCCATATAGTGTGGGTTGGGATGCTATGCTGGGCTGATGGGCTACTGATGGGGATAAGAGGGGGTGCAGGGAAGAAGGGTAAGTGGGGAGGAGGAGGACCCGATCGCCGGAGGAGGGAGCACCTTCAGAGGTGGTGTTGGGGGTCTGCGCCCCGCCCGCGCCCAAGGGGCGGAGGAAGAGCCGCGCCAGCAGCAGCAGCAACAGCAGCATCTGAGTGAGAGGCAGCCGTGAGACGCGACCGAGCCCCGCCGGCGCGGCCTTCCCTCCCGGTTCCTCCCGGGCTCGGACCCGGCTCCGCCTGGGGCCGAACGGAGTACCCCGCGGAGGAGGCGGGGGCGGAGCCCGGCGCGGGGTGGGGGGAGAGGAGGAGAGACGCCTGTCCCCACCCTCCTCCTGCCTCCCTCGGCCCCCCACCCTCCCGGGACTCCACCTCTCACCACCTCCTCTCCCGGCCCCCGCGGCTCCAGCCGGCTTACCCACGCTCCCCGGATCGGCCGCCGCACAGCTCTCCAACCCCGTCCCCCCGTGCCTCGCGCCCCAAGCCCCGCACGCCCGGCCCCCGGTCCTGGGCTCGCCGGCCTCCCCCACGCGCCCTCGCCAAGCCCCGCTTCCCGGGCCCTGCGCTTACCTCGGCGCTCCGCCCGGCTCCCCGGCTCTCCCCGGGCCTCAAGGCCCCAGGCCCCGCCGCTCTTCCCTACTCCACTCTCCCCCCTCCTCCACCTTCTCGTCCTCCCGACCCTCCTCCCTTCGAATCCGGCCTCCAGCCCGACTGGGGTCTCTCCCCGCCTCTCGTTTCCCTCCGACCCCACCCCCGTTTCTCCTTTCCCGGGGCGGCGGCGGGAGCCGAAAGCCGGGAGGGAAGGAGGCGGCGCCGGGCACCGGGGAAAGCTCCCGGGCGGAGGGAAGAAGGAGGGTGCAGGGGAAGACAGGGCGGGGGGAAGAGAGGGGGAGAGTGAGAGGGCGCCTCCCACAACCCGAGCCCCGGGAGCCGCCCCGGATCCCGGCCCCGCCCTGGACCGCCCACAGTGCCAGGAGAGGGGGGCGGGGGGTGGGCACCGGGGTACTCGCCCTGCGATGGGGCACCCAGCATCGCTAGGGACCGGCAGGGAAAATCAGGTTGGAGGTGAGAGAAGCCAAAGGCAAAGGAGCTGGCGCTGAGACAGGGAGTCCGGAATGGATGCAGGTGGAGAAAAGATGGTTGCACAAAGAGAAGGCAGCGCTGGATGGAATGAGAGGAGACAGACCAAGGCTTAGGGCCAAGAGGTGGACTATGGCGAATGGGAGAGCAAGAAGAAGCCTGGGTCAGAGAAGGAAAGGGGGGGGGGCGGTTGGGATGGGGAGAATCCTGGAACCCTTTAGGTTATAGATGAGTTGGGTGGGGGAAAAGAGCTTGGGAGACCAGTGCGGCTTCAGGGTCCTGCAGCCTTGCTTACACCCTAAAAGAAACACAAAGAGGTTGGTGGCAGAAAAGAATGGGGGCTGTCAGAAAGAAACTGAGGCAGAAAGAGGGAAGGGGAAAAGGCAAAACAAAACCTCCAGGTGGCAAGAGACCAAGAGAAAGAAATGAAAGCTCTAGAAATGGTGGGGAAATGCAGGCCTTTTGACATCCCACAGAAGCTGTATGTGTATGTGTGTGTTGTGTATGGGATGTGAGTTTTGCGCGGAAGAGGAGACAACTGAGGAGTTGACAGTTTTCAGCCCTTTTTTAATTTTGTAATCACCCTTTTACGATCTTGAATTGAAATTCATAGAAGATGCACACATAACTTAAAAATTCGAAATACCTCCTTATCTGTACTATAAAGGCAGAAATGAAAGAAGAGTAATTTGTAGTAAAGTAATATAAACAGCCTTTGAATGTGTGAGTCGGAGGCCCAACTTCACGAGAAGTCATAATGAGGTAGACAGATGCTTACACCTATCCATAGCAGGATACTGAAGGAACTGCTACACACGCAGCCTGATACAGGTGCTGAGCTGGTGACTCAACTACCTCCAGCATGTTGCCATCAATGAAGTGACTTAATGAAGTGTTGAACAACTCTTGGTGGCAAAGTCAGTCTTCTCTAAATTTACACAGAACTGTAATTGCATTCCTAGAAAGTTCATTGTATATTAAAAATTTTTTTTAAGAACTATTAACTTCTAGGCTCAGATAATTAAACACGGGTTTCACCTACATGAAAGTCCTGGGGGACATTTGAGACTCTGGATGAGGAACAGTTCTTCATTGGGCAGGCTGTGATTTAGAGAATATTTTACACCCCTGCCCTGCCCATATGTGTCAATAGTACTCCCTACCCCTCCCCAATTGTTGTAATATAAAACCTAAAGAATGTTTAAAATGTTATCAGAACTATTAAACTAGAAAAAGGGTAGGATGGAGTAGGGCAGGGTTTCTAATACTAATATTCAGACTGTAGCCATTCCTCCTCTAATGGTCTCAGCAGGCACGAACTTAATGTGGTCATCAACTAAACTAGAATCATGGGCATCTAGAAGGTCAGGAAGAGGGAGGAGTTCTCCAGACTTCTTTGGGAAAAAGACTTTCTGACTCTGGTGGCTCCATGTTTTTGTTGTTTTTGTTTGCCATGATATATGACGAAGAGATTTAGATTGTTAACAACTTCAGCTTGCTTGGTTCCACAATCAACACTCTTGGCACCAGAAGTCAGAAAATCAACAGACAAATTGCACTAGGAAAATCTGCTGTCAAGGACCTCTCCAGAGGGCTGAAGAGCAAGGATGTCAGTCTAGAGACTAAGGTGCTTCTGATCTAGGCCATGGTCTTCACGATTATTTGCTATGCATCAGAGAGCTGAACAGTGACCAAGGATGACAGAAGAATTGATGCCTTTGAGTTATGGTGCTGGAGAAGAGTCTTGAACATGCCATGAACTGTCAAGAATACTTACAAGTCTGTCCTGGGGAGGGTGAAAACAAGCCATTCTTGGAGGCAAGGATTTTGAGACTCTGTCTCACTATAGGCATGTAGCCAAGAAAGACCAGTCTATGAAGAAGGATATCATGTTTTGATGGGTCAAGGGACAGCACAGGAAGATCCAGATGAGATGGATTGACATAGTAACTGGGTTAGTGATAGGGGTAGGTGTGTGGGAGACAGATTGGCTCAGGATAGAGCAGAGTTCAGAGCTATTGGGAATAGGATCACTATGGGTCAGAGTCGACTGGACAGCACATAACAATTGCAGGGGAAGAGATTGCCTCTCTTTCTCCTGAGGAGCAGCTAGTGAGATTTAACCACTAGGCCCCCAGAGCTACCTGCAGTGTTTGCATGTTGTTGTTGTTAAGCGCCATCCGAGTTGTAGTCGACTCATAGAGACCCTATGAATGAAAGTCCTCGACATTTGCATGACTTTCATCCTTTCTCCAGGCTCATAGGGTTTCTGGAGGCAAGCTATTTACGGAAGTGGATGCCACTCCTGCTTTCAAGTTTGTTTTAACTGGGGATCACCACCACACACTGTCCAACATGGGTAACCCTTATCGCACTTGACACATCACAGTATTCAGCTTCACAGCGACCACAAGTTACCTTTGTACTGCAAGTGGACACACTAGGGCTATATGACCTAAAAGAATGTTTCACCAAAAGCAAAGACAGGCCTTAGGGCTGCAGATTAGAGTCACCCACCTTTGGCTTGGTAGCATCGCTTTTGGTCCACTAGGCCAACTGGTCTCTGTGCTGGTAAGTGCCATCGAGTTGTAGGTGACTCATAGAGACCCTATGAATGAAAGTCCTCAACACTTGCATGACTTTCAAGGGCAGGTAGTTCAATACATTAGATAGGCAATCTCCATTTTAACTTCTCATCAATATTAACCCTCTAAGATTGATGCTCCTTATATGTAGCTTTTTATATTAATGGTCTTATAATTACCATTTTATGACTGATTTATGTCACTCAACATAATTTGTTCTACTGTGATTCATATTGTGCTGTATATCATAAAAATCTCATGAATACATACAACTCCATTGTTTGAATGTCCCATGTTTCTTTAGCCATTCATCTAGTAATGAGCATTTGGGTTGTTTCCAACATTTTGCTGTTATATATAGTGCTGCAGTCAACATGGGTATGGGTATGTGAGTTTGTGCTACAATTCTTATTTCTTTGGGATATATATTTAGTAGTAAGATTGCTAGATCAAGTAATATTTCTATTCCTAACTTTCTACTCAAATTCAATCTCGTTGCCTTTGAGTTAGAACTTATGGAAGGCTGACCCTCCAACAAGTTTTGAAAGCAGAAAATCAAATGGGAGGAGATTGTCCATCTTTCTCCCACAAAGCCATGAGTAGAATCTAGCCACCAGAGAGATGCCAGGTTTAAGTCTGTAATACAAGTCCATGCGGACTATGCTACCAGAGCTCCTTAAGGAGCTTTCCATACTGGTTGCACCATTCTACATTCCCACCCACATTATGAGAGTTCTGTTCTCTCCACATCCCTTTTGAGCATTTGTTATTTAATATCTTTTTGAACATTGCTATTTTTGCTGGAGTGAGATGATACTTCACTTGATTTACTTTTCTCTAATAGATAGGCTCAAGTTAGGACAGTGTTCAGGGCTGCTATGCATAGGGATCGCTATGAGTCACAAGCAACTTGGCAGCACATATTAGCTAATGATCTTGAGCATTTCCTTCTGTATTTGTTGCCCTGGTTCCGCTTTCTCAGTGGTCACTCACCCACCCTAAGAACTCTTATTTAAGGCTTGTGCTCCTATGTGACCTTCACAAGGCTATGTGCTCAGAGGATACTTCCTGGCCCTCAGACAAACTAAACCCATTGCCTGCAAATCCATTCCAATTCATAGTAACCCCATGTGTTTCAGGCTAGAACTGCTTCATAAAATTTATAAGATGGTAACATTTTGTAAGCAAATTACCAGATCTGTCTTCTGAGGAGCCATGGGGTTCAAACCACTGACCTATCTGATAGTGTTATTATGTACCATTAGAGTTGTCAGAACAGACTCATAGCTGACCTTCCAGTGGGTTTTCAGAAGCTGTAAATCTAACTGGAAGAAATTGCCTTTCTCCCACAGAGCAGCTAGTGGATTTAAACTCTGCCTCTGGGTTGGCTAGTCCACCAAAGCTCCCTTTCAGCTAGAAGTCAGATGCTTAACCATTTATACCACTCAAGAACCCTTGTGTTGTATCTTTATGTAGTAAATAAATGTGTTTGGAAATCCAACAGCAATTCAGGTTTTCTGTTCAATTTTTAGTCATATTTTCTACAAATGCTAACTTTCTAGTCCCTTTTAAGTTTTTTAACACTTGTTTGAAAGTACATTGAATCAAAATAGTAAAAATCTGTTATTCAAGCAATGTCACAAATAAATTGTATACAAATTGCTGAATGGAAAACTAATTTGCCCTGTAAACTTTTACTGAGATCACAAGTGGGGAAATGGAGGATGGAGGCAAAGTCTATTACTGATTTGGGCAAAGTCTTTTCTTTTTTTTTTTCAAGTAGGAAACGGATTTATTTTGCTCATAGGAGTTCCCTTAGTCTTTCATCTCACTTTTATTTAAATGTTCTACTAGTTTATTTACAAAATTCAAATACATTGTTTTCAAGATCAAATTCTTTCAATTTCCCTCACCATCCCACCCATCAAATTGTACAACCACACGATTAATCCACTCCTCCCCCTGCATTTGACTGTGTAGATCATAACAAACTGTGGCTGACTCTGAGAAGAATGGGAATCCCAGAACACTTGATCGTTCTAATGTGACACTTATACTTGGACCAGGAGGCAGTCGTCAGAACAGAGCAAGGGAACACTGCATGGTTCAAAATTGGGAAGGGCGTACGCCAGGGATGCATCCTATCTCCATACCTTTTCAACCTATATGCAGAACAGATTATCCAGGAGGTTGGGCTCTATGAGGAGAAATGTGGGGTCAAGAT